AGAATCAGCTCTGGTTTCCACTAAATGAGCTCTGTTCAGCAGATGTTACAGACAGAAGCAGAAACTCCACATTTGCTTTAATTTTAGACTTTTAGTTCAGTCAAACTGACCTGAGAGGAGAACAAAAGGGTTTAAAACACATTAAAACGTGTCTTTTTAATCAGTTTTGTGAATAATCCTTCTAAAATATGAGCTCATTTTACAAAAAAATAATGAAAACTTGTTGACTTGTTCCATAAATTCCTTTGGGAATCAGATAAATGACTAAAATAATTCCAAATAAATCAGAAAATCTCATATTTAGAGGTTGAGTTCCTGCTTTTCTCCTCCAGAATCAGCTCTGATTTCCACTAAATGAGCTCTGTTCCAGCAGATGTTCCATAAATAAGTGGGGAATAGATGTTAAAGTGTTGTAAACATTAATTTCAGAGCAGAAACAGACTCAGTTTAACCTGACAGACAAAGTGATTCTGAAAGAGTCTCACTGCTCACTTTGATGAAGCAGAAACTCCACATTTGGATCATTTTAGACTTTTTGTTCAGTCAAACAGAGCTGAGAGGACAATAAACGGACTTAAAACACATTAAAAAGGGTCTTTTTCATCAGTTTTATGAATAATCCCTCTCAAATATGAGCTCATTTTACACTAAAATGATGAAAACTTGTAGTTTTTCCATAAATTACTTTGGGAATCTGCTAAATGACTGAAAGAACTCCAAATAAAGCTGAATATTTCTGATGGACTGTTTCAAACTTGACACCATCGTCCGACTCACCCCGTCGCTGGGCGCGCTCCTCTGGTTGCCCCGGGCGACGGCGGGGGGCGGGGCTTTGGGCGGCGCCCTGCTGGGGTTGGGGGGGGCAGCGCCGTCGGCCCTGAGGACCCCAGAGGGAAACAACTAATAACCACTTTAGTTACCTAAGCAACTCCAATATGGCCCGAATAGTCAGTGGTATAACTCAAATTAAATAAAGATGAAGCTAAATTAATTTTTTTTTTATCATATGTATCCTTATACTCTGATGTATAACTCAAATTAAATAAAGATTAAATACATTATTTATTATATGTATATAAATGAATAAATTATTATTTTTTGTAAGATGTAAATATATTATAATCATTTATATATATTTAAAATGTGTTTTTATTATTTTTATTATTTATTGTGCCTCTGACTGCCCTGGTTAGTTTTTTAATTATTATTTTTATTGTGTCTCCAATGTATGACTCAAATTAAATAAAGATTAAATCAATTATTTATTATGCGTGTATATACATTTATATTATAATTTTTTATTAGATGTAAATATATACATATCTTATAATTGTTAACATATATTTATGATGTATTTTATTAATATTATTATTTATTATGGCTCTGACTGCTCAGTTTTTTTTATTATTATTGCTTTACTATACTTTATCATCATTATTCTAAAATCTAGATTTTTGTTATATACATTATATATTTATAATTTTTTTGTATTTTTCATTATGGCTCTGACTGCCCTGGTTTGTTGTTTTATTATTATTGTTTTATCAGATGTACATATATTGAGATTATTATTTATTATATATTTATAATGATTTTTTTTATGATTATTTATTATATATACACATTTACTATATATTTATAACATTTGTATTTATTATTATTATGTCTCTGACTGCTCTGATTTGTTTTTTATGATACATTTCTACATTTTATGTACATGTACATATATTT